ATGGCTGAAGAGTACTAGCCAATCAGTAAATAAACCTGAAACTTGTGAAGACTTGTAAATGACTTTTCTTATGTCCAGCCAGAGAGTTGATCAGTTATTTCCATGGCTGAAGAGTACTAGCCAATCAGTAAATAAACCTGAAACTTGTGAAGACTTGTAAATGACTTTTCTTATGTCCAGCCGGAGAGTTGATCATATATTTCCATTGCTGAAGAGTACTAGCCAATCAGTAAATAAACCTGAAACTTGTGCAGACTTGTAAATGACTTTTCTTATGTCCAGCCAGAGAGTTGATCAGTTATTTCCATGGCTGAAGAGTACTAGCCAATCAGTAAATAAACCTGAAACTTGTGCAGACTTGTAAATGACTTTTCTTATGTCCAGCCAGAGAGTTGATCAGTTATTTCCATGGCTGAAGAGTACTAGCCAATCAGTAAATAAACCTGAAACTTGTGCAGACTTGTAAATGACTTTTCTTATGTCCAGCGGGAGTGTTGATCAGTGGAAGAGATGTGTCCCTCAGACCAAGGTCAACATGATCAACTGCTTGCTGTGATATTCCTTCAGGTCTATTTCTGGAGGGATCTCCAGAAATGCCTTTCCGAAACACATGTCTAGAAAAATTAGTTACTTGATAAAAGCGGCCAATGCAAGTGGTTATTGGCAAGATAACGGGAAGTAAGTGTGTGTTTGGGGTGAATGTCGAGTCTGAATCAGGGATGAGTTTGAACGAATCACAGGAACGGAGCTGGCAAGGTGTGATCGAATCGCAGGAACGCAGCTGGCTAGGTGTGAACGAATCGCAGTAACGCAGCTGGCTAGGTGTGAACGAATCGCAGGAACGCAGCTGGCTAGGTGTGGGTCGGACAGGCACAAGTGAAAAGATACAGATCTTCGCTATTGTTTAGATTACAATATGTACATTACAATATGCGTGGCGCTCTCTTTGGATGTTTTTTGTTTGTTTGTTGGGAGCATGATTCTCACACACTTGTTCTTGTAATGTGAACAGCGCACAATGATTGGTTAGCTATATCGTCCTCATAAAAAACACTTTAGTTTAACGTTAAATAACGCTTACCAATGCCCCTACGACCAGCAATTCGCCCAGTTGTGCTTCCACGTCACCGTCAGGCACGGCTAATCTCTGGGTGACATTTGGAATAACAGCAACAAATCCCTTCCCATATCCACAGGAAATATTTGCCATAACCAGAGCCGATTGTACGATTCCGACCATATCATGAGGAAGTGTTTATGAATAACTATCAAATAGTGATGATGCCAGGCGTTCGCGAAAAGGTGAGCGTATCCTGCCCAATCAGTGACACGCGTCACAAATACATACACAGGCAAGTCAAGTGTTCGCCTGAAGAAACATGGGAACGTATGATACAAGTCAAAATAGGAAATTGCATCGGACATCATTTTTGGCACTGATGTGTCAAATTTGGAACTCTCCTCCACATTTTTACCATAACACTGTTTGAAAACTTCACTGAGACCTTGAATGTTGTAACCTTGATAAAACAACTTCTGACCAAGCGTTGCATGACGCTCTTTGAAATCGTGGTAGAAAGAGCAAGTTTGATACAGGTGGCTAAATCAGGTGGTTACACAACGGAAATCCCATTATACAATTTTATACATTTCATTGAACCAAAATACTGACAATTGTGTATATTTTGAATACCCAAAGGATATCCAAGGTTTGTATATATGGATAGATTTTACCAGTGCTTCATTCAGTTTCCTTCAGTTTGTTTGTTGTCGGCAATATTTCAGCTATATGACGGCGGTCTGTAAGTAATCTAGTCTGGACCAATAATATCACTATATCATATGATTAATATCACGAGCATCGATCTACTCAATTGGGATATGATAACATGCAGCATCGTCGCCTTTTACGGCAAGCATGGATTGCTAAAGTCTTATTCTACCTCGTTCAAGGATGTTTGGGTTGCTGTTGGCATCGACATTTACTACAAATATATTAATTAAACGGGAAGCTTATAGGGCATTAAAATAAACACAACACAAACACAGCATATTACACACACGATTGTTTATATGCTACAGTAATAATACAGATCAAGACACAACTTATTCGTTTTTAAGTTTCTTCTTTTCTTTCTGCACCGGTTCAAAACATTGTAGTAATGTGTCTTTATAAATTTCACCAACAAAAATGACTTTTGACAAAGAAATGAAACGTTTGAAGACACTAACGTTATGCTAAAAAGAGCGAAATGAACGCTTACAGAGAATGTCATTGTGCCACCGACTGGTTTTCGCCATTCCTGTCGTGTTATTTCTGAAATATTCCGTGTACAAAGTTTACCTTAGAAACAACCTTTTCTGTAAAACATTTATAAAAGAGCGGACAAAGTTCGAATCGATTTCTCTTAATTATAATGCCACGAAAGCGAATCAAAATGGTAAGATAAGACAATCGGATCCGTAACGGGTCAGTACTATTATGCTATGTTTGTTTGTTTGTTGTTTAGCGCCGCACTCAGCAATATATTTTTTCAGCTATATAACGGCGGTCTGTAAATAATCGAGTTTGGACCAGACAATCCAGTGATTGACATCATGAGCATCGATCCACGCAATTAGGATACGATGATATGCATCCAGCAAGTCAGCGAGCCTGACCACCCAATAACCCCGCCAGTGCTCTTGCTGCTAATGTTTGCGTGACAAGCCCCAGTGCTGTGAACACAATCCTCGCACAACGTTCACATGTGTTTACGAAAGCCTAATGATATGCCAATTTGGCAGAATATCTATATTTTTAATTCAAAATTTCTCCTCAAAAATGAAATAACGAGAATAAAATCGAATGACGAGAAAAACATCGAAGCAAAGAGAAAATAATCGATGTAACGAGAAAAAACTCGAATTTTCAGGCTTGCTGACTTGTTTGATGTAGTCATCGTACCCTATTTGCATAAATCGATGCTCATAATCACTGGATTGTCTGGTCCAGACTGGTTTACGTACATACTGCGTGAAATGGGGACACGTTTTCTGAGAAACTACTGAAGTTACATAGATGAAAGTTTGCGCGTCTATCTAAGAGATACTTGTGAAGACTGAGTTCGAAAATTGGTTCAACTATTTATTTTTCCCAGAGGAGGGGCCTTTTGTGGGTATCACTTTCACATTTAATCATTGCTTCTGATGACATAAAGCGACCCTAGTACCCTCTCTTCTTCAGTGAGTGAGTGAGTGATTATGGTTTAACGCCGCTGTTAGCAATATTCCAGCAATATCACGGCGGGGGACACCAGAAATGGGCTTCACACATTGTACCCATGTCAAGAATCGAACCCGGGTCTTCGTAAAGAGAGGCGGGCGGTGTCACGTGACTAATTCACAAGAAAATATAAATCAAACAACACGATGATGCACATTCAGTTCGCTTATAGTTTACTGTCTGTCATTTCTTCACCAAAATACAATACTCAAACCTATTTGAGCTATATTTCAAAAACTGCATAACAGCGTTAGGAATTGGCACTAGTCCGGCAGTCTTTACCAAACTGCCCAATAGTTATGGTATCGTAAGGACTAGTAGAAATTTGACAATTTTAAGGGTTTTGCTATATGTTATAACTGCAATAGTCCCGTGAAGATTCTGGGTTAGAATAGGTTTTCAGCAACCCATGCTTGTCTTAAGAGGTGACTAACGAGATTGAGTGGTCAGGCTCACTGACTTGGTTGATGCACGTCATCGTATCCAACTGCGTGGATCGATGCTCATGATATCAATCACTGGATTGTCTGTCCTAGGGTTTTGCTATATGCTATCATTGTAAGGACTAGTGGAGTAAAACTGTTAGTTTCTATTGCTGCATAACCCAGTAAACATCGCGAAATCCACAGCACATACAGTGTTAATTGAGGATCCAGATCGAATTTGGCGAATGTTGTGTTTTGTCAGTTTGCAGACGACAAGTTAAAATTAGCATTTCTTATTCATTTTGATGAATAAATAAATTGAGTTGGATGCCCGAGATACTAAATAACGTAATTTGTATAACTGAAACGGTGCGCGTGATCACGTGGCACATGCTGTTAAGACGATGGCGATAACTGGTAATCGACGTGAAAGTTTAATTGCCACTGTTTTGATTCCCCATCGTACCGTTACGACAGAAATCAAGTGAATCATATTCCTATGATAGAAATAAGTGCTCATAGTTTCACAAAAAAATATTTGTTTGGCAGAGTAAAATTTGTACAAGGGATAATTCAGAATAAAATGTACCAGTGAAAAAATGACGATGACTGATCGGTGAAAGTAGTCAACGCTAGTTCATGTTATTTTATTTGGTTACACTGTGTAAAGAAATAAGAACGTTGTTACACTTTTGATACAAAGTTACGATTTTGAAACTGCGACTGACGGCCAGGCACCATGAGGGATAAACACATGCTCATGATATAGACGGAATTGTAAAATCGACAGCGATTTCTTATGAATACAGAAAAGGATTTGCCGCTTTTATTTTTTTAAATTCAAACAGCAATAATTTGCACATTAAAAGTAACATCATAGAAATAGATGTATATATCTGCCTTTGTTAAACTATATCTACCACAAAGTCCATGTGTTGTATGCATATGCCATGAAGCCTGCATTGTGCCGCCCTGTTTCGGCAGAGAAAACAGCCGGTCACTTTGGTGCACGACCTTGACCGCAATGCCGTGACGTCATGGACAGTGTGACGTCACCGCCATTGTACATTTGGCGCCACGTCAGCTGGGCGAACCTCGGCTCAGAGTGCAGCGAGATGTAAACAAAGTTTGTTGTGTGTTCCATTTTTAATTATAAACTTGTGACACACAATTTACACAGACTAATTGTATTACGAGATGCAGTGTTCACATAATAATCACACATCATCAATATTTACACTCAGTTAACAATTTTCTTACCTGATTATGAGAAGTTCCAAACACAACAAATGACAAAATATCTAAAAATATTTTCAACAAGTTTTATTTCTCCTCAAACACAACAAACATTCTCACCAAATCCGGGAATATATTACACGACGACGTGCACGGCACACCACGTCACTGTCTGTAACAACATGTCCCCCTCCACCGTCTACACAAACACGACACTGACGTCACTGAGCGCCGCGGGACTTCAGCAGTTCCACCACTGGCTGTGGTCCCCAGAGTCTCGCCCAGTGCGCCGCTGTCCGCCCCGACTTGTTCCTGGCGCCGATGTCCACCACGTTCAGAGACAGCACAAACTCCACCGTCTCCACATCTCCTCTCATACAGGCGTAGTGAAGGATGTTTTCACCGTGCTTGTCCACCAGTGACACATCAGCCCCTTCACTCACCAGGAGCTCCACCACGTCTCTGTGTCCCATGTATGCTGCCCCCATCAACGGTGTCCTGCTCCCATCTCCTCTACTATTGATGTCCACCACGTGCAGAGACAACACATACTTCACCGTCTCCACATCTCCTCTTATACAGGCGTAGTGAAGGATGTTGTCACCGTCCTTGTTCACCAGTGACACATCAGCCCCTTCACTCACCAGGAGCTCCACCACGTCTCTGTGTCGCCTCACTACTGCCCCCATCACCACTGTCCTGCTCCTTTCTCCTCTACTGTTGATGTCCACCACGTGCAGAGACAGCACAAACTTCACCGTCTCCACATGTCCTCTCATACAGGCGAGGTGAAGGATGTTGTCACCGTACTTGTCCACCAGTGACACATCGGCCCCTTCACTCACCAGGAGCTCCACCACGTCTCTGTGTCCCCCCAGTGCTGCCTCCATCACCGGTGTCCTGCTCAACCTTCCTCTACTGTTGATGTCCACCACGCGCAGAGACAGCACACACTTCACCGTCTCCACATCTCCTCCCATACAGGCGTGGTGAAGGATGTTGTTACCGTTCACGTCCACCAGTGACACATCAGCCCCGTCACTCACCAGGAGCTCCACCACGTCTCTGTGTCCCCTGTATGCTGCCACCATCACCGGTGTCCAGCTCAACTCTCCTCTACTGTTGATGTCGACTCCCGGTGTAGTCAGGAGCCGCTTCACCTCCTCCAGGTCCCCGTCCCTGCTGGCGTAGTAGAGGTCGCGGTCCGCTTGTGATGGAGTCGCTGTAACACAAAGTAAACTCTGTACTCATCCAGACATCTTCGTCATACATCTACTGTGTTCACACCTCGAAGTGTTGATACGTGACAGGAACATCGATACATGATGAACCACTTCCTGTCTGGATGACAACACTATAACGATGAGGGGAGTGGTTTATGTATTGATCTTAGAATAATCTATTCACGTGACATTTGTTCAAGTGCTTTCTTCTACATCCAGTAGTTGTAACAATATTCTATGTAGGGCTGGAGAATGTTAACGTTTGTTTGCTTTATAAGATATTAGTCAGACACTGTCAGTACAATTGCTGTCTCAAATTATTAAGATAATACGATATTTAGTTTTACATTGCTTTACATAAGCTTGTTCATTGAATACACTGTATGTATGAAGGGTTAGGAGTGAGCTTTCTGCCTACTGGGTTCTCCCACCTACCGTGTGAAGCAGTGGAGAGCCGTGGATCCCTCTCGCTCTGGCTTGGATCCTTGATCGGGTCACTCGAGGCTGAAACACAGAATATGTTGTTTAGAAAACTATATATAGAGGCCTAGCACATAAGCATTATAAATATTGGCCACAGACCAGTTATTGCCATTCCACAAATTTGAAGCCTTTTGAAACGTTTACTACAGTACTAGATTTGAAGTACGTTTATTATAGCAAAAGTGTAAATATATAGTTTTGTGATTGTCAAATAGATTAAATGACTCTCATAAAAATACAACACAAGTATAGACTGTTGTTCATCTCTCCGGCGTGTCAATACACCTGCTTGTTGAATTGACCTTTATGAAAAAAATGATGATACTATTAGTGCAATTTTTGATTTGTTGATAAATTAATAGGATAAAACATGTATCAAATTGCAGAGACTGTTTATAGGACATTTTCGGAGTAGAATCCCCCTAGCCTTGGCTGACATGATGATCTTACCAAATATCATACAAAGTTGGACAATGACACGATCTACCACATGTTGGGTTCCCCCACCTACCTCGTCGATCAGAATCTTGTCCCTTCACAAGTGGCTTCAAACTCGGATCACTCGAGGCTGAAACAGAATATGGTGGTCAGAAAACTATATATAGCATAGGAAAAGCATCATAAATACTGGCCTCAGATAACTTATTGCCATTCGACAAATATTTTGCCCCTTAAAATGTTCGCTCATGAATGTGTTTGTAGCAAAGGTTTAAATATCAGGTAAGCCTAGTTCAGTGATTGGTAATGTAAATGGCTATAAATGATTTGTTTGTTTGTTGTTTACTCAGCAATATTTCAGGTATGTGACAGCGGTCAGTAAATAAACGAGGCTGGACCAGACCATCGAGCGACTGACATCATGAGCATCGTTCCACGCAGTCGGGATACGATGACATCCTACAATTTTTAAATACAACGTTACAAAAAACACTGAATTTAATATGGTGGTCAGAAAACTATATATAGCATAGGAAAAGCATAATTAATACTGGCCTCAGATAACCTATTGCCATTCGACAAATATTGTTTACTCAGCAATATTTCAGGTATGTGACAGCGGTCAGTAAATAAACGAGGCTGGGCCAGACCATCGAGCGACTGACATCATGAGCATCGTTCCACGCAATCGGGATACGATGACATGCATCAACAAAGTCAGCGAGGCCTGGCCACCCGGTCCCGTTAGTCGCCTCTCACAAGCATAGTCGCCTTTTACGGCAAGCATGGTGTTTCCGAAGACGTGTTTCACACGGGGGCTATAAATGACATAATATAAATGACATAATATGGAGTAACACGGGGATTAATAAATATGGACCTGCTCAGAAGCCGATATTCGGCAGTAAATGTGAGTAAAGATTCCCAAATCGGAATAAAAACAGTCCCGATCCATGTTAATATATTTATCACTAATTCATCTAAACGTACGGCTTTGTGGGGGTAAGCTGTATTTCACTGATACCAGGACAACACACAGGAAGAGTTTTAATGCTTTGTTTGATATTATTACACTGATCCTACAATTATTAAATACAACGTTACAAAAAACAACTGAATTGAAGAAATTAAGAACTTAATAATCCAAATTTTGAACAAAATAACGCTTTGTTCCCAATCCGTCTTAGTTTCGAATCCTGGATAAATCCCTCGTACAACACACCGAGATTGTTGCTCATGTGCCCCGTGTGTCTTTAATTTTACAACAAAAATAAACTGAAAGTCAAAATATACGGAGTTTGTATTATGAAGTCTGATTGAAAATTAAAAGTACTGATTCTTGATACGAGAAACTTGTAAATGTCTTTCTAACAATCACAGTTTTCTGCAACAGTTTGTCGAACAGAATCTGTGGTTGGGTTATTTTGTGTAAAAATGAATTGGTTCAATGAAAACAGGGTAAGGAATGAATTTGGAACGACATGACAGACTCCTACCATGTTTGAAGATAAGATGTCTAAGTTACACATCAGCAGTTTGGGGCAATCTGATTTGTTTTAATAATAATACAGATCGATATATGTAGAAGTATTCTTAAATTGCTGACTATTAAAGCGTTAGTACAATCTCGCTTACTTGAGATAATTTCTATTGAAAGCATATGATAAAATCATTCATCAGATGTATAGTTGCCAGGTGTTTGTTGTCTGTGGGAATCAGTGCACACCGTTATAGATTTTGACCAGAACGGACTGGCGCCCACCAGTGTCAGTGTAGTAATAAATTTGTCGTACATTTCAACGTCAGTCTTAATCAGAAGAAAATGTTCATTCAGAGACTCTAACTTAATGCTGCATTATTTATACTTAAATTGTTGCAATTAGATCTATTCTCGTCTAAGGCGATACCTCTGGCATGTCTATGAAAACACTGCCATAATTTCAATCGAGAAGTTTCTATTTTCTATCGACACAAATAATCGTCCTGTTGACAAGGGAGCATTATGTAATAAAAATAATATTTTACGTTTGCTGCGGCGTTTACTCAGTGCATAATTTTACATCGTTTGGTGTGTCGGGTTGCAGTGTTTATGGTATTTTCGGTAATTCCTTAAATTCAAATGTCGACATACGTCCTTAAACAGATTGATATTTCAGCTTTGACAATGTAATGATAAAGCAATGCGAAGAGCAACAGGTCTACTTGACTCGGAGCTTGTGCAACACAGTTGTAATTTTATGTCGGGCAAACTTTCCTATGTAGCACTGTCATAATTTACATGTACCGAGCGATGGCGGTAGTACAATCATCTCAGATCAGCTTACCATCTGAGGCCGAAACTGCAGCCAACACAACAGTACTTCATGTGTTAGACAGTGTTTGGTTTGATAAAGAACAAGGGTACAAATATGTGACAAAATATGGTGACAAAGAGTGATAAAATAGAACAAGCCTATTGGTTAAAACGCCATTTATAAATGTTTACATCCAGACGTTTGTTTCTCCCCGGTGACAGGCTAAACAACTGTCTGGGTGTAAACACTGTGTGAAGCAAGCACCTGATTCCTACAACATTCATTTTGCTGTACATCAATCTTACTATATTTACAATTTCTGTTTCATCTAATTTCCTAAACATAGAAACTGATGACTTACCCACCGATTACGTCCTAATACAAGTGACACACCTCACTGCCGGTCATGAAATGCCTTGACCGGCGACACTACGGCCGCCAAGGTGCGACCTCTGACGTCATTGTGACGTGTCTGGCTTGGAGCATGGCATAGTTTGGCGCTCGACTGTTTGTACAGATCAAGCGCTAGTTGACCTAGGCCCAAACCTCACACCAGCCAAACCAGCCGCCACTTTAAGATAGATTTAATAATGACGAAATTGAATCCTTAAACTTACATATCACAGGGAATGAAAATTAAGTGAACATGAATAATATTCTTAATTGTTTGTTTGTGTAAACATCACAGGAGCGTCATTGGCTGACAGTTAAATAATATGTAAACTGGCCTCATTTTGATTCAAATTGCAAGCTAAGGTCTACATTAAGCCTACTGCATTGGTTAACCAAATTTACCACTGTGCATCTTTATTTTAGTAAATAATAATGTGATTAAATGACGCCTATCGTAAAGAGACTACCTACGCTTAGATTTTATTCGCAAGGGTTATTTGTTATTCATAATAGCAATAGCTATACTTTATAGGAACATTGGTGTGAAAAATATTGAATTCATTTTGTGTAAAGAAATAATAACGTGGACATTAATTGAGGAAGATGAAGTAAATCATGGTCTGACTTTAAATTGAGTGAGTGAGTGAGTGAGTGAGTGAGTGAGTTCAATCTGAAGCCGTCTATTGTTAATATGCAAGCCACATAACGCCGAGGACTTATTATACATTGACGTTATGGTGAGTGAGTGAGTGTGTGAGTGCGTGAGTGAGTGAGTGAGTGAGTGAGTGAGTGAGTGAGTGAGTGAGTGAGTGAGTTCAATCTTAATGCTGCATTATTTATACTTAAATTGTTGCAATTAGATCTATTCTCGTCTAAGGCGATACCTCTGGCATGTCTATGAAAACACTGCCATAATTTCAATCGAGAAGTTTCTATTTTCTATCGACACAAATAATCGTCCTGTTGACAAGGGAGCATTATGTAATAAAAATAATATTTTACGTTTGCTGCGGCGTTTACTCAGTGCATAATTTTACATCGTTTGGTGTGTCGGGTTGCAGTGTTTATGGTATTTTCGGTAATTCCTTAAATTCAAATGTCGACATACGTCCTGAAACAGATTGATATTTCAGCTTTGACAATGTAATGATAAAGCAATGCGAAGAGCAACAGGTCTACTTGACTCGGAGCTTGTGCAACACAGTTGTAATTTTATGTCGGGCAAACTTTCCTATGTAGCACTGTCATAATTTACATGTACCGAGCGATGGCGGTAGTACAATCATCTCAGATCAGCTTACCATCTGAGGCCGAAACTGCAGCCAACACAACAGTACTTCATGTGTTAGACAGTGTTTGGTTTGATAAAGAACAAGGGTACAAATATGTGACAAAATATGGTGACAAAGAGTGATAAAATAGAACAAGCCTATTGGTTAAAACGCCATTTATAAATGTTTACATCCAGACGTTTGTTTCTCCCCGGTGACAGGCTAAACAACTGTCTGGGTGTAAACACTGTGTGAAGCAAGCACCTGATTCCTACAACATTCATTCTGCTGTACATCAATCTTACTATATTTACAATTTCTGTTTCATCTAATTTCCTAAACATAGAAACTGATGACTTACCCACCGATTACGTCCTAATACAAGTGACACACCTCACTGCCGGTCATGAAATGCCTTGACCGGCGACACTACGGCCGCCAAGGTGCGACCTCTGACGTCATTGTGACGTGTCTGGCTTGGAGCATGGCATAGTTTGGCGCTCGACTGTTTGTACAGATCAAGCGCTAGTTGACCTAGGCCCAAACCTCACACCAGCCAAACCAGCCGCCACTTTAAGATAGATTTAATAATGACGAAATTGAATCCTTAAACTTACATATCACAGGGAATGAAAATTAAGTGAACATGAATAATATTCTTAATTGTTTGTTTGTGTAAACATCACAGGAGCGTCATTGGCTGACAGTTAAATAATATGTAAACTGGCCTCATTTTGATTCAAATTGCAAGCTAAGGTCTACATTAAGCCTACTGCATTGGTTAACCAAATTTACCACTGTGCATCTTTATTTTAGTAAATAATAATGTGATTAAATGACGCCTATCGTAAAGAGACTACCTACGCTTAGATTTTATTCGCAAGGGTTATTTGTTATTCATAATAGCAATAGCTATACTTTATAGGAACATTGGTGTGAAAAATATTGAATTCATTTTGTGTAAAGAAATAATAACGTGGACATTAATTGAGGAAGATGAAGTAAATCATGGTCTGACTTTATAGTGAGTGAGTGAGTGAGTGAGTTCAATCTGAAGCCGTCTATTGTTAATATGCAAGCCACATAACGCCGAGGACTTATTATACATTGACGTTATGGTGAGTGAGTGAGTGTGTGAGTGCGTGAGTGAGTGAGTGAGTGAGTGAGTGAGTGAGTGAGTGAGTGAGTGAGTTCAATCTGAACGCGAATGGGAGAATTCAATCTGAGGCCGTATCGGAAATATATAAGCCACATAACGGCGAGGGGGAATGCTGTTTGGTTTTGAGGATACAAATACGTGGTTATGAAGATTTGTTATAGAGGCGAAATGTTACATCAACGCTGTACTTCATTGTGGTGGTTATGTTAAAGTAAAGTCTGATATGTTGACCTGAAACAATGGTCTTGTTTGTTTTACATTGTTTGTTGTGTACATGGCGGATGAGGCGTGGTCAGTACTGGCCAATGACAAATCAACTTCCAGGTAACGAGGCGGAGTTTCATAAATGTGCAGGTATACAGACATATTTGCACACTTCGCCTCTATCTACTCACTGTCAACACTGGAGTGGGTCAATGAACATGCCACCTCTATCCACTCACTGTCATAACTGGAGTGAGTCAATGTACATGTCACCTCTATCCACTCACTGTCAACACTGGAGTGAGTCAAGGTACATGTCACCTCTATCTACTCACTGTCAACACTGGAGTGAGTCTATGTACATGTCACCTCTATCTACTCACTGTCAACACTTGAATGAGCCAATGAACATGTTACCTCTGTCTACTCACTGTCAACACTAGAGTGAGTCAATGTACATGCCACCTCTATCCACTCACTGTCATAACAGGAGTGTGTCAATGAACATGTCACCTCTTTCTACTCACTGTCAACACTGGAGTGAGTCTATGTACATGTCACCTCTATCTACTCACTGTCAACACTGGAGTGAGTCTATGTACGTGTCAAGTATATCTTCTCACTGTCTCAACGTTTGATAATGTTCAACTAACTGAGCGGGTTTGATACCCGAACACGCTTGTCTCATCTATCAACTAGATATAGCCGAAAAAAATGAAAATGTAGTTCAGTTAAGTCATTTAAATAATTGGACGTTTTAAGTTCAGTACATATCAAACCACAAAATTTCATGTCAAATAAAATTTAATATTGTTGTCCACATTCTCCTCCAATAGCGGTCCTTGCAAAACTGAAGGGTCAATGCATATCCGATGTAGGTGCCACATGCAAGTGGGATTCCTTCGTTGTCTGTGGTTCCAGATTGGACTGAGTATGTATCTTTGACTGCAGCATGCCCGTCTGGTAGGTGGGACCAATCTTTGTTTTCACACAGGTTGTGTAATGCGACAGCTGCAGCCACAAGGATCAACCGTCTTGAGGACTCGCCTCCATCCCCTTGGACCACCTGAATGCGTTCTCATTCGTCATGTGGGCACTGCTTAGACGGTAGTTGCAGTATGATCGTTCTGCTGTAAACTGTCCTCTATTGGTAAGTGGTTACAGGAGCCAGGAGGACAATAGGTAGGCTTTGAGTCGTATTTATCATCACACACAGTACCACTCGTTTCTGTTCACAAAGTCAGCATGACAATCATTTAGAGCAATAATGGGAACATTTGTAGCATATATTGCTTCTGCACAGTTCGAAAAGTTCCATTTGTCTTTATAACCATCTGTTGCCACCTTCAAGGCTTCACCGCATGGACCATCCTCTGATATATGTCGTCGCACACACTGTTGACCTGGCTATTCCAAACAAGTTACCAATAGTTCGGCCAAGAAGTACACACCTACAGCAATGCCATGTTCAGGGGTCAATGACCCTCTAACGTCTGATAAACGGTGCAAATGTGGCTCCAATTGTAGGCAGATCATTTTAAAAAACGCTTTTAAATGTTTTTAAAACAATATCGCTCCACCAGATTTTGCATTTTTCCTTCATCAAAATTAATCTTTCTTGTAGAAAAGACGAGTTTCTTGCCAAAGCAAACGCCTGTATCAAACAGCGCCTTCTCCTTCTCCAAGCACTAAATCTTAACCCCTCCACTGACTCAAATGAAGTAAATTGATTGATATTATAATGACTACCCTAAATAGTACACCAGTGTATATAAACACAACCACTTTTCACCCTTTGTCCACGTGGTTATTTTTACCCTGGGGGTATTCTTCCCCAAGTAGCAAAGCGAGTGTATATAAATATGCTTGAAACATCATAATCCAGACAACATGGCAGTATATAGTGGGACAAATATACATATGTGGGCACTTCCATGTAAATTGCAAAGGTATTACGACTTTGATTACGTTTACTTTATATTACATTATTTATAAACAATATATACTGTGATTTGATTTGAGAGGTGTCTGGTATGGAGACATACTGCTGGTTCACTGCTGATGAGAATCAAATCATGTAGCTTACAGAAATACTGTCTATGAAGATGTACCAATATTACCTGATGTCTGTGCTGCCTGCTCCGCAAACTCACTCAACTCCCGCACCTCCACCTCCATCACGATATCTTCAATTGATGGGTCCAGCTTCTGCAGGAAGTGTAGGATGTCCTCCTTGATGTCTGCATGCTGAACAATCATACCCATTGCATCTTCCATGGACTCATGTTCAAAACAAAACACCATACATTCCCAACGAACACGTACCAGTGAATCAGGAAACAGTTCATTCAGTAGAATCTTTACAGTTTCAATGTCAGTATCGGTTGGTTGAGGAATATTTTCATGTTTGGCCTTCCAGCATGATTCGCAAACAGCTTTTCCAGAGGGGAGATTGATGATAATCGTACTGTTAACTGTTCTGTTATCTTAAAAAAAGAAGAAAAACCAAACACATTCATAGGCTTAAATGACACCATAAGTAAACTATTATCACAGCTACCTTCACCTTCTAGCATACATCTGCCCAGCATGTATCAAACACTCACATCACAATGTAATCCCTGGCATTCCTCAGAATATCTCCACTTTAGGATTGGAACAAGCGACACAGAATGAAGGTCATACATTTCTACTTGATAACTATATATCCGAAACCGTCCATGAAAGATGATTGATTTACTGAAAAGGCATAGACATGTTCAGTCATACCTTGATGAAGTTCTTTTGTACGAATTTCCCCAGCTGAAATGGATGTTTCTGCCCTGCTGTTGCCACTCATTCCAGTTTTCGTTTCACTACCTACGAAATAAAGCAAAGGTAAAACACAGTATACAGATCTTATTTATAAATATCCCAGTTTGACAGATTCTACAGTTTCATTCATGACCAAATACTAGGATTACAATCACTCTGGCAGTCATTTGGAAGTATGTGAATACGTCACACTGAAAGGTGTGGAGAAACTTGGGTGAAGGTAACTTGTCTGGTCATCAAGGATATAGGAGATGGCTGCCCACATCATCACAATACAAACACCAAATCTGTCCACTTCCTGTATGCAGTTTTGTGCATAACGTTCCTCGCGACGCCTGTAAACACGATGTATACCATCCTCACGGGAAAGCATAAAACGTGACTTGTCGCAGCCGACGATGCAGATCCATCAAAAAGGTTCATCACTCTCTGGGCTAATACCCTACGGAATCCTGGTATTGCCATAGTCGCAGAGGTGGCCATGGTTGTTCTTCCACGTTCGTGGCATAGCCGTATAAATCTGTCCAGTGCTCAAGTAGTGATACGTGGACAACCGGATCAGGGAAGGTCACATGTTGACCCGTGTGTCTGATAGCATTTCCACTGTCTTGTAATTGTGCTACGTGGAAAAAACCTGGCTACAGGTAAAGATGATTCACCTGTTTGCAGTTGGCCAATGGCGTTGTTGCGTGGGGCTTCTGTCAGTCATGGCCCTTTCGCTGTTCACTTGCTGTTTGATTGTGATAGCATAAAAATGAAATCCAAAAGTTTTCATAGACAAACAAGTTCATGCCATGTTGGTGTGTTTTGGCGCCAAGCTCTCACGCGATTGTGTTTTTGCGATTTTTCAATCTTTCCACACAAATCAATCCCGATCTATGCAGAAATTACCAATTCAAATGTTACATTAAGTTTGTATGGATATCCGAAACACTCTGTCAGATTTTTACGTTTAACTACTTTTGCGTTTCTTTTTTGGCAGAGCATATGTCAGCTCTATCTACTCACTGGCAACACCGGATTGAGCCAATGCATGTCACCTTCATTCTCGTCCTTTCAACACTAAACTTGGTCAATGAAGATGTCAAGACAGTTACGTAAGCCATGATTTGAGATCAGTTACTGGTAGTTCTGATCCCTTGATCCGTTATTTATTCTTATTTATGTGTAGCAATTTGTAAAAAAAATATAAACTGTGTGTTTCAATATAATTGTTAATTATCCATTGTTCGTTTGTGGTTATTTACTTATTTCACATCTCTGTGTCCCTTGATTTCTGTGTTAACCTCTGTGTTTCAAGTTGGAGGTCACCTAATGTAATCGCGTGTACAACCATCTAATTAACAATCTGGACAAACAAGAACGAACTGCTTTATACCAGTTGTGAGATGAGAAGCGTTCTCGTCCATCTGGTCATATGGATGAGAGGCGTCCTCGTGCCCCTCGGCATGTGGGACGTCATCGTGCCTCTCCTGGGAATGTAAGTGTGGTGCGTCCACATCCTCCTCCTGTTTGGAGCAGAACAGAACGTCTTGATCCGTCGTCCCTCTGGGCAACGTTTCTGTGAACAAATGATGAAAAGAAACCATCTATCATGACACTGAAGATGAGATGTATTCTGCGTGCCACTGACAACATAATCCAAGGACAGGGCAAGGACGTTTACTTGGATCCCAGCCCACTTTGGAATATTTGGAAACAATGAAGCTGCATCATGGGTCAACTTAGGCATAGTAACCTCCAACCTCAGCCCCAGCAAGACAAAGTCAGATACATTATCCTGCGTGAAATCAACCAATCAGTGTGCATCGTTATATCACTTCTTTTGTCATGCTGCAGAGGTGTTCATCCGAACTCAGGACCAGAACATCAAGAATTAAAGATAATGCGTTTAAATGTTCGCACACTTGAAGGCACGCTGAAACAGATGATGTTACAGAAACTGAAACATGGCCACACGCTAGAAATCAAAACGTGGATGTTTCTATTCCCGGATTTCAGCTACTGTTTAGACTCCAGGGTATTAGGTCCTATATAGACCATTGCCCAACTTCGTCATTCCGCAATAGTATCCTCCGAAACAGCTTCATTATTATAAAAGTAAATATATGTTATTCACAAGCAGACAATGATGGTTTTAACTTTGCCATAAATAATATTGAACTCGATAAATTATTCTCTAGAGATAATGTTAATACTATTGCAGTTGATGTCACGAAATGTATCATGAATGCATACAGTCGGCTTATAGCTAACACAATGGTTACAATTTAACCTTCTGGTCCACTTTGGGTAAACAATGAGAAATAGTATTCACCTGCATAAAATCGCGAAGAAAAAACATCACTCATCTGATTACATAAAAGTTAAACCCATGATAAGGATAGTTGTATCTGCTGTATTACATCTGCTGAGAAAACAAAAATGACAAAATACAAACCATAGGAGCAGAGTCGATTGTACGACTGACTATTTCCTGAGCATTTGTTTTGAATCATTATCAAATAGTGATGATACTAGGTGTCAATTGTTAACCTGAAAAAACTATATGCACATATGGCACAAATCAAAATACGGAATTGGACATCATTCTTTCATTAATGAGTCAAATTCGGAAATGTCTACCATAAAACTTTGAAAGCTTTGTTGAGGCCTTCAATGTTGTAACCTTGATCAAACAATTTCTGAGCAAGACTTACTTTAAACTCTTGGTAGAAAGAGCATACACGATTGTACTCAAAAGTGAAATGTGGACACCAAAAGCTTGAGCAGCAGGACTATTGCTCGACATAAAGGGAAAGTTGACTTTTGGAAAGTTGAAGTCATCCATCTTGTCATAGTCTTGTGGAGAGCATTGTTGTCACTGTAAATCTTTTTTGTATACATTTTAACAGATGAAGCAGTTTCACTGGCCTCTTTTATTTCTAGTTACACCAAGGGATGGCTAAAAACTATATTAAAACACGGACTGGTCATTCCAATTTCCCACAGGGACAAATTGTACGATGAAACCAAAGAAATAACTTTATGCTTGAAATCATTTGAATGTTATTTGGAAAACCACTTCCAAAACGGTGTTATTATTTCTGATCTAAAGACTGTTATGGCAGGGGTACCAAAGGGTTTAGTCTTAGGGCCTTCACTTAAGGATTGCAATTGTATTTGTTGACGCTTATCAGCTGATGAAGACAGTGCCTCACGTGTGCCGGTGTGTGGCTGTGAATGGTTGTGTGTGGCTGTTTGTACTAGGCCAGACTAATGCCAGGTTTCAGTGCTTTCCCACAGAGATACCATGCTGAAGTTTAACATGATTACCCCAGCATACTGATTCCTGGCACACCAGCCCTTGTGTTATCCCCTAACTGACGTGCGCTAGGCAGGGTAACAACAAGTACATGTGTCAAAGTCTTTGATATGAGGGGGGATCAATCAATCGACCATCCGCTTTCCGGGCAGATGCTCTATCCACTACACCATGACACATTAGGAAAAAACCCTATGTATTTAGCTTGCTTAGTGCATTCTAAATACAGGATATTTACCATCTCAAACACACTCGAGTGATCACTTCATGATATTTGCTTCAATTGAGTGAAAAATAAACAGTGATTAAACATAATATCCTGACGTTATACAAAGTTTCCAATTTAAGGGCAAGTGACTTGCAGATTACTCGTTTCGTGCTTGATACTTAATTGGGTTGAAAAAAGCCTGAATCAATACACACAACTTACATACACATACAGACCAGCGTTTGACGACATAAAACAGCATCCATGTATACAAGTTGAATACAATAGTCTATTCTTACACATATATCAGTACAAAGACAAACATGATACACTCCAAGTATACAAGTACAATACAATACCTGGGCCTTGGTCTTTCCTCGCTGCTGCCGCATCTACCTTCTTTATTACTGACTCCATCTCGATATCTGTCACTTGTGCATGAATTTCATGAAGAAACTTCAAAATGATATCTTTAATATGTTCATATCCTGTCATCATCTCCCAGGCTGTATCCTCTGTATTGTGTCCGAAGACAAACATCCACCGGTCGATCTGTATGCTGGTCAGGCGTCCATGAGTTGCAAACTGCTCCCTCAACGCAGATAACTGTTGTCGGAATTTGTGATGGTTGATATAGGGGCAGTATTTGTCGGGTATAAGTGTACAGATCCAGGTTATTTCATGACACCACGAGGATGTGTCATGGAAAGTAACCCTAAGCACACGAGCTCCTTTTTTTGCCAAGTAAAGCGTAACTGTGAAAACACATTAAAAAAAAAGTCTTAAACTTTCAGGATGTATTTAATATATACTAGCGGAACAAAGTAACTGTGCTTCATTTAAAGTGGTGTAAATATTACGTTATTGAAAATAACAACATGATATTTCGTTATCTGTGTATCAAAACAAATTCATTGACAAACCCAAGACACGGAGTGACAAGTCCAAACAAAGGGTGGTGTCACAACTCCATTAACAATGTCAATATTAGTTGTGACCACTGTTGGCGTTCATACATGCGAGGCAGCGACGGTTCATTGAAGACGCCAGATGATTAAAAACAGCCTGGGGGATGTTCTTCCAAATGTCAACCAAAAGATTGGCCTAACTGAGTTAGCGTTACTGGCTGGTTCTGATCCGGTCTATCACATCTCCGCCGGATGTTGTGCCACCTTAACTTCTTGCATACGGATCTGCAATAATTGAAATTGTCCAAGCTGTGAATGTTCCAGTTTGGTATCAATTCCTTAGATGCATCGACCGAATATGGTTGTCTTGTTGACGTGACGTCACACGTGGACAACCGGTCCGTGGCAAGCAATGAGTCTTTCATTGCTGTGAATAACGTCTCCTAAAAGTTTATATCATGTTTTGATGAACATAAAAATGTTTGGCAACTTCGTTTTGCGGCGTTCCTGTTTGCAGCCAACCCAGGATGCGTAGACATTCTTTTTCAGCAAGCTGTGGCATTGTGTAAGCGATGTAACAAAAGTATTTCTATGACACGAATAGTTACACAATCACTATATGCTGACAACATTCCCTTTAACAAACACAACAACATCCAAATTGTTTGCCGTGCACAAACATGCACATGCAAACTATGAATCACGATCTTTAATTTGAGAAGATATCTTCATGAATATATATCGAAAGTTGCATTTTATTGTTTCAGAATTAATGTATTTTTATTGAGCTTTATATGAAGCAAGGACAGTTTCAGTTAGTGTATACTCTTACAAAAGCAGGGGATCATGAAATATGTATACTGATACCAAGTAAAGATAAGTGTTTATGACAAACATCCTATGCAAGAACGTAAATGTCTTAGCACCAAAACATTCCTGATTTGGACATTTTCAAAAAATCAATTAATCCTAATGGACAATTATTTCTGTCAACCTTTTTGATTCTGCTGATGATACAGTGTGTATTTGAACTTGCGACACGACGTCTGCAATGCTCGGGGTGTCAACAGGCTTTTGACATGCTGGAAACTGGCAGAAATCAGCGTGCAGTGGCCAATCTGTTACTCGCATACTGTGGAGGGTGTGTGTGTGGGGGGGGGGGGGGGGGGGGAAACCCTTAGCTCGGGAAAAAGCTTCACTAAGTGGCGCTCTTACAAATCGAGGCAGATCGACATATAGAGCGCTAAGATCTCTAAAAGTGTTGATAGATCGCTATCAGAGTGCTACTTAATCACCAAGGTCGTAATCAGAGCTCTATCCTATCACCTTAGAGTGCCTCCGATCGTTACGAAAGGCTAGGACCTACGCTTCTCCTACCAAGCCTAGAAGTGATGAGCGCCTCAGAATGCTCAGAAGTTTTTATATGATCGGACCCAAAATTCGGCGATCGGGTTGCGTTAGGATCCAAAAAAGTGCTCATTGAGTACTAATGGATCTCCATAGGTCGCCTAGAACACTCTCGGATCGGAGTAGAGCGCATTAGATTGCAATGATCGCCATCGAACCGCAAATAGAGTGTCATCTGATCACATCCACCATGGATCGCAAAAGGAGCACGAACTGATCGTGCAAGATCGCAACATTTTGAGTTGTCGCTATCGGATCGCATAAAACCCTATGGGACCGCAACAGGGGCACTATCAGATTGCAATCAGATCGTAAGTGCTGATCGCTGATCATGTTCCATGTTTTTACGAGCCCCGACTGACTTTGAACTTCCTTGATAGGCGTGGTCGTGTCTCGCAACGTCGAAGTGAACATAAGCATAACTACGACTGACACTACTTATTGTGCAAACAATACTATCGGGGCAACATACTGACACCCTTTGTCGTCTTGTCTGCAAGGCACGTGAGTCAACGTTTTGTCTTTCAAATTGTTAAGTTATTTTCTGGCGTCACCTACTTTTTTAAAGGGTATTTATTGTGAGACAACCAGTCACACATTTTGAACTATGGGGTATCAGTTCCTTTATTCATATATTATACATAATTGCAAATGAGGTTTTCATGAAACCTGTTCTGTGGATAAAGAGACTGATTATTCTGTTACGTTGAAGTTGTATATTATACTGAACACAGTGTTAGTAAACATCCTTCCATCAAGGACAGGCCTGAGAAACGTAAAAGGTCAACTTAAAGTAGCTCACGTTTATCTGCCGGGACATGGACTAGGAAGGCACCATCTTCAACAACAAAAACAAAATGTACGTTAGTCATTAAATAAATGCAACACAACCCTTTCAATATTCATAAGAAATCTCTGCTAAAAGCAGAGTCGACTGAATAAGTCTGTCTATTTCATGAGCATGTGCGTATGACAGTCAAACAGTAATGATACCGGGTGTTCGCGAGAAGGTGACCGTATCCTGCTGCACCGGTGGCAGTCATCACAAACACATGCAAAGGCAAGTGAACTGTTCTCTTGAAATAAAAAGAAAACATGCATTGCATCAGTCACACCTTTTGTCACAGATGCGTCATGTTTGGAAATGTCCAAACATAATTACCACAAACGTTTTGAAAGCTTTGTTGTTGCCTTGATGATGTAACCTTGATTAAACAACTTGTAAGTGAAAGTCGTAGACGCTCTTTGAAATCTTGGTAGAAAGAGTGTTTCAGTGTACCTTAAAAGGCTGGATCAGATGGAATGTTGCTCGACATATGAGTAAATTGACTATTGGAATGTTTAAGTCATCCCTCTCGTCAAACACTCCTTTTTGAGATCATTGTGAATACAACAGCAAGAGGCAGAACCTATCTCCATCCACATATTTTTATGAGTGTGCATGTTGGCATAAGTGAAGACAAGATTTATGGTTGACAGAGTATGGTTGACTAGTATATATACTGGCTTCACCCTTTTGTTTATATTACTGACTTCGCGGGTCAACATGTTTACAGGTGAGGTGAAATAGGGTTTAACGTCGCGTCCAAGATTATTGCACTTATACAGCGACGTGCAACATGTTTACAACCCTTTTGTGTGACTTCTCCACTACAGCGTAACTACATCTGGTATCTACTCTACTGTATAAACACTGCCTCCTACCTGTATATATACTTGTCAACCATACTATGTACATCACTTGCTTGATAATAGTGTTAGAACCTAAACCAAAACGTCGCTCCTAATTGTAATAAAGAAGTTGTATAACCATAAATATTTTCCTTACTTTGTATTCCAACTTTTAGATGCCTCTCAAAGATTTGTTGGCGTAAGATGAAAACAGAAAGCAGTAACATGACGTCAACGTTTGTATATTGTAACAGTATAAATGACCAGATAAAATATAATCTAAAACTGAAATGTCTGGGAAAGTCTGACCACTAATACATCACTCTAAAACTAATGTTATTCGACCAATAAATTTGTTAACAATATGCAAATGATCAAATTCAAGAAGCTGTTCACCTTCAGTCGTGGACGCCATAACTCCTGATTTGCCTGCTTTTCCTGCTTTCCTGAAAAATATTAAACAAATGCTCAGTCACACAAACAAAACAGCATGTTAACACAAGTAAGATAATTACATCCACACTATTTGGTATTCGTTTAACGCTTCTCCCGAAATGCAATGTGTCTGACAAATTCACAACTTCTCCACAGTTAGTTAATTTTCTTATTTACCGGGTGGGTGAGTATGGCTTATTTTAGTAATATACGGACTAGAAGGCCCGAAGTGACATAGATCTGACTTGCAAAAGCGAGTGTATATGTTTGGTATCTGACGAGCCAGATACAAGTACATATTCACCAGTATCATAAAAGGACTTTAGTATTAATACTTCCGTGGTTCAAGTCAAGACATGCAAATGAATAGGGTACAAATAGCGTATGAAAACTGTACTCTTCAAAACAAAGAAACGCAAAAAGCAAAATAAGCGGACCAAGAGGTGCAAAATGAAGAGGTTTAATGTGTTTTTTTGACAAATTCCCGGAACTAAATGATTGCAATAAGGACATGCAAACCATAAGTCGGGAAACTCATACGATTAGGAAAAACGCAACCAATTGACAAAAGAGGCAGGGAGCTGCACGTACTGCACGTACAGCAGCACCATAAACGGTGTTAATGTGCAGGGTTTTTGATTGCCTGGCATCTGCGTCAATAAAACAGTGACAGTTCAACAACTCGCCGAGATTAACAAAAGTGCAAATAAACAATGTCATAGGCCGCTTGCAGGCAGGGGAATAGCGATCAGCTGTAGCCAGGGTTTTGAATGTAGGGCCCAGCACCTTCACAAGGCTATGGTATCGGTTTCAACAGCATTGGTCAACACGTGATCGGCCAAGGTCGGGACGGCCAAGAGTATCAAGCCCCGCCCAACATCGCTACATCCGAATGTGCCACCTTCGTGAAACGACGACCACAGCCACCTCAACCACATTCCTAATACCCAAAGTACGCAGAATCTCAGACCAGATAGTACAAAACATTTTAAGAGCAGTGGGTCTACGAGCAAGGCGTCCTGTTGGACGCGTCATATTGAGTCGACAACATCGTCAACAATTGGTGTCGTCAACACAGGGTATGGCATCAACTGCGATAGAGAGATGTCTGATTCAGAGACATCAAGATTTCTCCTGCCCCGAGGGGATGGAAGAGCACGTGTCTACAGACGTCAAGGAGAAGGTTATGCCAGAAACTGCATACAGGAAGTGCACCGGTTTGGTGTGGGTAGCGTTATGATGTTGGCAGAAATCTCTCATCAAGGTATTGGTTCATATCCATGGCAATCTTACGGCTCAACAATACATCAACGGAATTCTCCTGGTATATGTCCTCCCAAGTGCAGCCAACTTTGTATTCCAGGAGGACAACGTTCGACCGCATACAGCCCGGATCACAAGAGCCTGACTACACAACAACAACGTAGATGTTCTCCCCGGCCCTACAGATCCCCGGATTTGAACCCAATAGGGCACCTATGGGATGAATTCTCGTCTCTTCCATTGGCAGGAGATGTCAGGGCGCTATCGATTCCAATGTAGGACATACGCAGTTATTGATGGTAGTTGACTTTCAGCTTGGACTTTTCCTATGTACCGATAACTGAGATGACTACAATCACCAAGTGTTCTCTCCACAACCTTTTGGCTCAATACCGTGTATGGTTATCAATGTATTTTCCTACCTCACACAAATCTGGCTTTGCGTTTCTTTTTTATGAAGAGTATGTTAAATTACAAAGAGCAATTCTACAGGTTAAATATAATTGCTGTGTTCCCCGGCAAAGATTGACAAAGGTTTTCCTCAGACAAGTTTTGGACCAGATACTTCCGGGATGAATGGGACGTAAATCATTTAGTGGATTCAAGTTTGCTGCCATGCCTTTCATTATCGACACACTCGTATTGATGCCAACAGCTCTGCTTAAACCAAGGAGGTCTTGGAGCAGTTGCTGTTTCTGAGTAAGATGGTGAGTCATGACCACTAAAGAAAAGCGTTTATATGTAAGGCCGGGGTAGCGATCGTCACTGAGGGGATGGAAGAGCACATGTCTACAGACGTCAAGGAGAACGTTTCGCCAGAACATGCATACAGGAAGTGCACCGGTTTGGTGTGGGTAGCGTTATGATGTGGGCAGAAATCTCTCATCAAGGTATTGGTTCATATCCATGGCAATCTTCCGGCTCAACAATACATCAACGGAATTCTCCTGGTATATGTCCTTCCAAGTGCAGCCAACGGTGTATTCCAGGAGGACAATGTTTGACCGCATACAGCCCGGATCACAAGAGCCTGACTACACAACAACAACGTAGATGTTCTCCCCGGCCCTACAGATCCCCGGATTTGAACCCAATAGGGCACCTGTGGGATGAATTCTCGACTTCTCCATGGACAGAAGATGTCAGGGCGCTATCGATTCCAATGGTGGACATACGCAGGTATTGATGGTAGCTGACTTTCAGCTTGGACTTTTCCTATGTACCGATAACTGAGATGACGACAGTCACCAAGTGTTCTCTCCACAACCTTTTGGCTCAATACCGTGTATGGTTATCAATGTATTTTCCTACATCACACAAATGTGGCTTTGCGTTTCTTTTTTGTGAAGAGTATGTTAAATTACAAAGAGCAATTTTACAGGTTAAATATAATTGCTGTGTGCCTCGGCAAAGATTGACAAGTTTTTGACCATATACTTCCGGGATGAATGAGACTTAAATCATTTAGTGGATTCAAGTTTGCTGCCATGCCTTTCATTATCGACACACTCGTATTGATGCCAACAGCTCTGCTTAAACCAAGGAGGTCTTGGAGCAGTTGCTGTTTCTGAGTAAGATGGTGAGTCATGACCACTAAAGAAAAGCGTTTATATGTAAGACCGGGGTAACGATCGTCACCTGTTGCCCAAGCTGTTGGTGCGAACATGCCATTTCCATCTTGATTTCATTTTCACGTCACCCCTGTCAATGTTTTATGCAAAGTATTGCAAAGCCAAAAATTCGCTGTGTTTTGCCATCAAAGTTGAGCCCAATTAATCCACTAGTGCACATGCACACTCATACGCACACACGCATACACGCACCCCCCCCCCCCCCCCCCCACACGCACGCTAAGACTCACGCACGCACGCACACAGATACAGACACACATATACATGTGCTTTATGTACATACATTCAGCAGTGCCCAGTCAATCAGTAGTTCCTTCTTAAAAAGCAATGGTAATTACAATCAGCAGTACGTTTATACTTCTGTTCATGTCTTTGTGACAGCCATCATAGTGATGGCTTTTCCAGATGAATTTACCTTTTTGTTTCTTTGATCAGATTGGTTTGAGACACACAGACAGGCAAAATCACACAAAGGTCCCCATACATTTTTACAATACTAATTGCAGGATAGTTAAAATGAAATAGAAATTCAAATTGACACACAACGAAAATAATTTAGCCAGGGTAAGGAGTATTCTGCATCATTGCAAGCATCACTTACTTGTTAACATAAAAAACAGCCAGTCGATTGGGAGTTCAGCTCATAGGTTGATTGTAGCAATCACAGTGGGGAGCTTTGATTCGTGGCAGCGATAGTATAGAGACCTCCGCGCTAGGGCTATCACTGGGAGGAGTTTGCTACAAACCTTAAACAAGGTAGGTAACTCCTGTCACTCTACAATGTTAGTGAGTGAGTTAAAATTTACCGTCGCATCGGCATTATTTCAGCCATATAGCGACGAGACCAAGCTAATATATATACAATTAAGTTATTTATGCAATGACATATTTAAAAACAATTTATGAAACATATTGGAGCATACTATATTTAAAAACACTTGATGAAACATATGAGCATCACAATATCATTAATACAGTTTTAAAAACAGGCTATAGGCCACCAGTAACCAAAGCTAGGCCACCTCACTGGGGATCATGGGAACTTACAGTACTTCTGCTTCCTGCATGATACCCTAGCAGGATTTACGTCATCACTTTAGCCTCTGGTGGTTGTGCACAATACTAGCCAATATTAAAAAATACTCATCAATGAGTTGGCTTAAAACACTGGTTGATGATAGTTACATCAATTACTATAGGATTACGTGTCACACAGGGGGACAATATTTTTACGCTACGTTAACCTCCTGGACAGAGCCTTTAATAATGTCAGTTGCTAATAGCATCACACCAAATTTAAAAACAAGCATTTAATTATTCACATACATATTTAAAATTTATTATACAGACCAATTTCTTTCAAGTAATTTATGATGAGATGACGGCTGATACGGGAAAAGAAATCTTTTAGATTTACACTTTGATAATGTGAATCCCTTGCGATTGCAAAGTCCACACAGTCAAGCAATATATGCTTGACGGTGAACCTTTCATCACAAGGGATACACTTAGGAGGTTCGTCCTCATCTGTCTTAAGCAGATATTCGTGTGTAAACCGACTGTGGCCAATACGACACCGTCGTAAAACGACCTCGTCATGTCTTGACTGACAACCCCAGTAGTTATGAGCGATTGTTGGTTTCAATTCGTGGAGTTTATTGCTTCCTACTTGGGTGTCCCACCTCTTTTGCATAAGATCCCGAGTATAAGATTTGATGGTAGGTTTGAAATCACTGTACAGGATACAAGTGGAGATAGCGGTTTGTCAAGAGCTGCTTTAGCTGCAGCATCGGCTTTTGAGTTACCAATTATGTGCCTACATGACTTGGTAACCAGCAAAAGACGATGTCACATTGGCCAGTGGAAAGATCATTATAGAGTTCTAAAATGACAAGGATAATAGGGTGATATAGTGAGACACTTTTAAGTGCCTGAAGGCAAGATAACGAATCAGAGAAGATGATGAAATTTTTAGATTGGTTTTGTTGTTTAATATAGGTCAAAGCTGTTACGATAGCTTTGGCCTCAGCAGTAAATATTGAACTAAAATCTGGGATTCTTGAGGAGACAGTTCTGGATCCAACGATGGTGGTGTCACTCTACAAAAACACACTGGA